GATTTCCTTGAATGGATACATTTAAAAAAATCTTTAACAGGAAGTGGGAAGTGGGATTATTTTGATCTCCTTTTGGGTGCTTCAGAACAGATAGCTTGGCAAAGTATGACAAGCTACGTCACAATACTTGCTACCATTTTAATATCCCAATAATTTAATGGTCCGTTTGTCTTAATTCTCCTCTAATTTCAAAACAGCTAGTCAAATACATGATTTCTAAAGAGAGCAAACTGCTGCCAAAGTGTTTTTTTGATAAATCAACCTTGCTCCTTTTTTCATTTTCTTCTCTTGCAGAATAGTTGTATGTTAAAAAGGGGGGTGTGTGTATATATATATGTGTGTGTATACACACACACTCTACTATGAAAAGTATAGACAATTTACACACAACTTCAGTTTAACAAGTAATTTACTCTATAAAGTGAGCAGGTTATAATTATACTTTAGTATTCCATAGAAAGCTTCCTTGAGCATGTCCCAATGAGTGCACATATGCAGGGGCACATTTCCTGCGAGACAAATAGCAGTGGCACATATTTGTGCCACTGCTATATGTCCCCAGGCACACCCCTGCACACATGCTCCAGCATGAACCAAACTGACCCAGGTTGGGTATGGAAGGCTGGGGCTACCACCTGTGCTGGTCCCAAAAGAATAACCACTGAGCCAGCCACTTGGAGTCTGGCCAGCAGCCACACCATGGCCTTTATTCAGTGGCATTTTTTGTTTTGTTACTGGTGACTCCCAGTGTCAAAAAACCCCACTATACCGTAAATTAGCAGCACAGCAAATGGGTGCACATGCACTGTGTGTGGTTTGCACTGCCTCAAACTGCTTTGAGGCTCTGAAAACTGCAAGTGTGTGCTCATCAGGATGCACCTCTTGTTTGTATTCACAGATATATCACCTTTTACTTCACATTCACAAGAAGTTTTTAACTTTCTCTTTACTGCTGTCAGCACTGTCAGTTATAGGAGAGGGTTCATTCTGACTCACCTCATATAATCCACAAATCTGTTACCTAAGTTTCAGTTGCAATGACAAATTATGCCTGAAGTTACAGCAACAGTGTTAACTGTTTCTGCTGTAACAGGAATTAAAAAAAATCAAAAAGCAGTGTTTTGTTGAAATTAAAACCTATCACAGAAATGTACATACTAGTTTTGACAAGGATGAATATTAGGACGAGACATACACATACCCTAGAACAGCAAATGGTATGGTAGGTAGGACACTCGCTTGTGATGTTGGAAGCCAAACTTCAACTTCGGACTTGAACTGCATTGTCCCACACTCCAGGATGTGCCCTGGAGCTGGCTATTCTGGCTAAAGAACTGGCTATTCTTCCAGAGCGCTGTCTCAGTCACTGCTGTGATAAGCTGTTCCACTTTATAAATAATTAATTCCTCATTGGAAAAGAATATTCTACATCCCAGATAAGTGTGACAAATCTCATTTTTCTCTTTCTTCCTTTGCGATCCTATGGACTATTAGGCAATATATATATATATTTTTTTTTTTCTTGAAAATGAAACAAGTTTACTACCACTGATGCTTCATAAATAAAGAAGTCCAAAATGTCTTTCATTCCTAAGAGCTATTTTTCAGAGTAGAGTTACATTTTTAATTGATGATTTATTTATTATTATTCTGTTACCGAATTATATTCGGTATCCATATTTTCTTCTACCTAGTTGTGTTTTCTCCTTAATTTTTCTATATCATTAAAAAATGAATTATGTTAAATGGTGCTTTAGTGAATGCAAGACCTCATCCCCTTCCTATTAAATATTTAAAAGTATTTTTGCATATAACATGTGAACAAGGTTTGTGAAATCATTATGGTGTGAATTATGGCCATGCATCATTCCTATATTGAGGTATAATCTGGTCGACCGGATGGTATGGCAAATCATCCTGACATGTTTATATTAATATGGGTATGTAAATGAGAATAAGAAAGAAATGGTCAAATTTATGTTAAAGACTTCTAAAGGCTTAACAGCATCTTACTAAGTATATGTGTCAGCTTAATCTAATCCTCCTACTTCTAACACGTTCTGTGGTCTCAGCACGGTGCCTATAATGCTCTCGTGTGTTCTGAGGGATTGCATCTGAGAAGTTCGCCATCAGGACTACACTTTGTTCAATAAAACTTTATATCTAGTCTTAGGCTGACAGAAAGCTATCTATCTCGAATTTGCATCACAAACTTTTAGCTGCTTCTGACATCAATAACACTGGCTATAATACCTCCCAGTAATCTGTTACAACTCACAGAGTGCACATATTCTCAGTTCTCATCTTACTTTGTCAGCTGCAAACAGGCTGCTCTAATTTGTGTAGACTGGTTCATCTGAACACTGAAATTCTTTGTGCCAATAAAAAGCACTCTTTTAATCAAAAGCTCATTTGGGCAGATTTGTGGCCGTGTTTCTTCTCCCACTCCAATGATTTCAAGTCCTGCTTAATTGAAGCATCTTTATGTCTCCTTCATGCTTGGTAAAAGGGACAATGCACAGCCATTCTAAGCTCATCAGTAAGTCCACCATGGCCAGCTATGGATCTAACCACGATTACAGATCAATAGGGTATGGTTATTTGTTTCCTGTGGAGTACTACCTTTTCTTCCCAAACATGAGCAACAGAAGTTCATTAACACAACAGTGTTCAATTAAAATAAAATGGTTACTTACTCTACTACCTTACAGTAATTGTGGTTATTTGAGACATAGCTTTTAGTGTTTTTTCCATTATAAAGTGTGTTAGACCAAAAAGATTTGAATCACAATAACTGTGCTTCAGTATGGAGAATGATCACAGCTCTTCTTTTGCAGTCTCTCAGTTTGAAGTCCATGATGCAGAAGAGTCCCCAAAATGGCAGGGTTCTACTTGTGCAACACACATTGACTACAGAAAGATCCAAGAACCTCAGTTACTGTATTGCTGCTGCTTCATCAATTGTGGGTCAGTCAGGGAGGATAAGGGGAGAGTGATCTCCTTCTCTCCCTTCACTACCAAGGGCTCCTTGATGTCTGACACAATTGTCCATAGTAACCTCAGCTGGGCCATGGTTGTAAACTGCACTAAAGTACATTGCTTTGTGGGTATTTCCCATTCTGGTAAATTAATATAGGAAAAACCATACAAAAAGGGGTTAGGAATACTTTATAAAAGTAATAATTATTCTATATTACATCCTTTAAAGGAAGAAAATATTTTTAAAATGTTTAAAATATTTTACCACTGACAGCTACAACACATCACACTAAAGCTACTAAATAAAATATCCAATTCATGAGGAATATAATAATAATAATAGCATGAAGATGCCTGGGGGTATGGTATTTAGTGGTTCATTGCTGTACTGTGTTCCTTGAGAAGCTGAAGAAATTCCACCTGATGCCCATAATGCAACCAGGACCTGTATTAATGAAGCACTTAAGCATGCCCCTTGTTGGATTTTAATGTTGTATTAAAGATTCAGCCTCTTACTTTGAACCTCTTACAGCAGAATGAAAACTAGTATATAAATTCTTCCATTAAGAGCTACAGATAGGTGCTGGTTAACAACAATATTTTAGATCAATAACTATTTTAATTTAAAATTTTCTTTTCAAATAACACAGAGCTGCTTCCCTGCCTGTGGACTTTGCAAAGAAAAATGCTAAGCAACATAAGTGAACTTTCTCCTGAAATTCCTTGCTGATAAATTAGTGCTAGCTATAAATTTAATGCACACTACATTTTAACAAGACTGCATTTCTTACTGATGATTATAATGATGATGGTCATTAGGGCCTTAGAGAGATTTAGAGGGAACTAAAGATGAATGAAAAACCTTGATGATTCATTCTACACCCATGCCATTAGTTTAACATAAAATACTACATAGTTACAGTTTTCCCACACTTCATCCATTTATCCTATTTATACATTTTGCTCAATATTAGATTTAGCTAAGGCAAATGTACTTTACTCAAAGCTAATTATTATATGCCCCATGAAACATCAGAGAGAGAACAAGCAAAGGGATCATGTAAATTGTATGCTAGGAACATGTTTTATCAGGTTGCTTCTTAGTTCTTAAACAAGACATAGTAGAAGAACAACATTCTGGCAGGCTACATGTTCTTTCCTTGCTTCATGGATTAAGCACGCTTACTCCATGCCATATTTTTATTGCTTTGTATTCCTGTACTTTAAATCTATTAAACAATGTCAAGTTGAATTTCCTTCAGAAATTGCTGCAGGTTAAATAAAAAAAATAGGACAGTAGGTTCTTTGAGGGCTAACATTATGTTAACTAATTAATATAGATCTGTTGTAGGTTTGCAAACATCTCTCTTTTTTTTAAATATGTGAGTGCAACTTTGAGATGAACGTAGACTAAAGGCCTGATCCTACTCCTATTGAACTCAATGGCAAAACTCTTATTGAAACAGCATGATCAGGTCCTTAACCATTTTGTAGGCCTGTCAGATGAAAGAGGGTTTTTGCATGTTGTTATGAACTTTTGTAATTGAACACAGCACATCAACCCATTGAAACATAAGGCATACATTGTATTTCTAACTTTATTATTCTCACTGAAATTATGGAGAGTTATTACTACACAAAAAAAACAGTATACCAAATTTGCTTGGTTAACCGTATCTGGTTTTAAAGGCACAGATATATTTGGCAGTAAAGACACACACAGACACCCCCCCCCCCCAATCTACTTTACCATTTCATAGATTTTTTTTTTAAACTTTTGCATTTTATTTCTCCTCTAAATAGTACCATGCTAATATTCAGTAATTACACTGCTCAAAGACATTTATGCAGAAGATCTGTCCTTCTAGAGTACAGCTCATTTTTGTTTTTGTCATCTATTTGGACCCCATGTTTTTTTCCAGGCTAATGCTTTTTAAAAAAATGAGTAATATGGCTGGTAACCAAAGAAAGAACATTTGTATCCTAATCATGCCTACTCTTCCTGCTTGCTTTGAAATGTTTTCCCCAGTTAAACCCCACTTTATTACTATTAATGGCTTATTCCAGCAACAGTCTTACCTGCTTGTAGTATTTCAGTACTGAAGCTATCCTTCTTGTAGAAAGTTCTAAAACACAAAGGTATTGCAGTGCAGTCTTCAGAAAGTTTCTCAACAGCTTGCCTAAAAACAGCAACCATATCTTGGAGAGCTGTATCTAAATCAACTGAAGAAACAGATGGTGAAATCAGGCTTAGGCATACTGAGATTGATGCGCTAGTGGCAGAACTGGACTCCACAACCTCACATTCAATTTGGCAGCCCTCTGAAAACATCTTCAGTGAAAAAGTTTTTCTTTGTAATGGATCATCCACTACCGCAATGACATGCCACTCAATGAGTGCCTCTCTGGGTAGGTGCGGTACCACAACCACAGCTAGTGTTCCACACACTGCAGGTAGATCACTGCACATTATCGAGTCTTCTGCCTAAAAATTAAACAAAGCAATCCAAGCATTAGATTAGAGAATTACTAGAAGCTGATTCTTATATGCTGGAATGGGAGCTACAGCTACTCCACTATAATTTAGTTTATAAAACAACAGATAAAGCTGGAAGAATGAGTAAACATTAAATAGTAAGGTGAAATAAATGGTTCTCAGATTTTGTCAGTCAATTAAAAAAAGTGAGTATGTATACTATGGTACAATCACACTATATTTATCAGCACAGTTGGTTTATTATCATGGATATTTTGTTTTTCTCTCTTTGTTACTAAGAAAGTAACTTAAGTCACCTTAAGCAATTATGAATCTGTCTGACAGATAATTCTTGTTCATTTTCTCAATATTAGCTTCCTACTATGTCTGTGTCATTTTAAGGAGGAATACAGATCTTAACATTATTTCTGCTCATTCCTATAAAACAAGACAAGAATCAGAGAACAGCAGTTAGAGAACTACTGTAAAACATGCTACATAGTACGACATTTATTTGCACCAACGGTCTTTCAATGTGAAAAATATTTATAGTGTTGCATGAAAAAAATGGAGCAAAACATTCACTCCTTGAAACAAATGAGGTTTATGTTCAGCATGGGCTGAATGCATCATCTAAAGCAGTGGCTCTCAACCTTTTTAGACTCAAAGCACCCCTAGATAGACTTGAGGCATCCCTTGAAAAATGCCGAGTCCTAATTTTCAGTCTTTTTTTGCATACAGAGAAATAATATAGAAGTTTTTCTGTTGCAGAGGGCTTAGAACAATCACAACTCTGAATATCTATTTGAAATTTATTTCTGGGTGTGCCTTGTGAATTATGCTTGCAAACCAAACAGTGCCAGCACTGTGTGGCACCCAGGCTGCCAGGTACCTTGTGTGAGAATCACTGCTCTAGAGGGTGACAGCATCATCTCAGTGACAAAGTTCAACCAGCAATGAGCAGAGCCTGGAATTCCTATTCCAACTGACGCTATACAACAGGCACTGGTAACTTACAGCCTGCAGGCTACTGGATCCCATGGGTGGTGCCAGGGGACTTTCGGCAGTGGGAGGGCTTTCACTTGTTCTGAGGCTGGGCAATGGGGAGAACCAGTGGCAGCAAGGACCTAGTGCCAGCCCACCTCAGACAAAGTCTTTCTACTCTGCTGCCAAAAAACCTTGCCAACTCCTGGCCTACACAGTCATGCTTTCTCTTACCCATTCTCCCTTTTGCCCCATGACTTTTACATATTTGGTTACACAGAGGCTACTTTCAATAGGATGGGTTGAAGATACAGTCCAACCAGCGTATTCTGGGGGTTAGTGCCTTTCCTGTGGAGGAGGAGATATGAGTTTGAATCTTCCCAGGCTGAGGGTCCAGAACCCAGCTCTCCCACTTTCTCTGCAAGTCCACTAAATATGATGAAAAATGAAGACTACAGCCACTTCACCCCCATCATGATTGTGGTCACTGGGGACGAGCCCCAAGCAGCCTCCCTGGCCAACTTCTGGCTCTAAAGCATGTCAGCAGACTCTGATGGGTGAGGTAAGATCAGCCCCATGCTCCCCGGGACACTGTGCCAGAGTTGCATAGACAAGGCCTTCAGACCAATTCTGAACTAGACTTAAAACTTGAAATGTAGAACAGCTTGCAGAAGTCTATCATCTTACAGATAAGCATGCACTTAACTGTTTTAGTTACAAATGCAGGCTTTACTAATACATACACTCATAAAACTTGTTAAATGAAAATGAGTCTATTTATGGAAAGGAGTCTGATTATATATACATGTATATCCCCCCCCCAAAAATAACTGAAATTACTTGTAACAGTTTTCTACAAAAATGAATTATATTTAAACAAATTTTCCCTCTGTGAATAGATTTCTCAAAATTGTCTTATTTTCCCCTTTTTTTAAAGAACGATCACACATTAAGTACTCTTGATATTAGTGACTTATACTTTCCTCTCCTTTGTGTGTATTGATGATAACTTTTTTTATATACCAATTTGCTTACACTGCAGTCTATACTGGTAATATTGTACATTGCCTGACCTTTGAATGGAAAAATAATAACAAGTTAAAACAGTCATTTTATCTGAAGTCGATAAGGCCGTAACACTCACCCTGTCTTCAATTCACATGCTCAATTTTCATCCACTCGCTCTCGACTTTTGAGAGGAAGGAATAATGACAGGTTACAGGCACTTTATTTCAAAATTCACTCACAAAGTTATTGACAAGCATTTTTCCACAGAAAAGTCTTTGCTGCTTGACCCTTGTGAGCTGTTTACCTGAAAAATGCACTTACTTCTAGATTAACGATAGTGGAGCCTAATTCCATACCAAACATGTAGCAATTGCTTTAGCATTTCTGTTTTTGATATGGGAACAAAAATAGGGATAATTTGTCTCAAATTGCAGTCACTTCAGTCATAATAAAATCTCACTGAATACTGTTTGCTTTCAGTACTTTCATTAGGTAAGCTGGGGTTGTTATTAAGGTACCAACACATAAATGTTATATTAGCACTTAACAGTAGCACAGTATTCTCCTCCAGGAGATGAATTCTAACCTTGTCAATATAATTCTGTTCTGAGTGCTATAAAACAGTTTGAAAAGATGAAATACTGGAGCTTTGCACTGGAGAAAAAAAAAGTCATGCTCATTCAGGCTTAAAGGCCACTTTGTTGGCCCAAGGTGCTGATGTACTGTTTAGAAAATAAGTCTAAGGAAGCTCTCTTAGGTCAAGTCAAGCATTGAGACAAACTTTTCTACTTTATTGTACTTGTCTTAGATTGTTAAATCAATTACTAAGTATTTCTGCTTGCCTTCAGTTGCTATTTAGAATGTGGAAGGAATACAGGAAAACTCAGGCCAAACTAAAGTACATTTTCAGCTCAACAAATCATAATCATTCTGAATGAAAGACTATATATGGTAGACCCATATATTCCCATAAATGTGCATTGTGTGGCACTCCTAACCTTCAAATTACAGGTTTGCGCAAAATACAAGCGATTGAACTGCTGGGAACTAACGTTCTTTCTGCATTCCATCATTTGTTACTGGATCTTTCAGAAACTCTTTAAACAGTGACCTCTCCCAACTGAATTTCAACATAGCATTGCCATTTTTGTTAAGCAGATATGTCCTATATGCTTCAAAAAGCGAGTCTTTAGAACTTCTTAACTGCCTTACCCTTAGCTTCCCCAGTACTTGAGGTACTTGAGATATTTATCCAAATCCAAGACGACTTCTAATTTAAGATGATTCACCCAATAATTAGAATTCATACACGGAAAGCTAAAAATGTGTTACACTTTTCCATGTATAGAATCAAAGAATCATAGAAAATTAGGGTTAGAAGGGACCTCAGGAGGTCATCTAGTCTAATCCCCTGCTCAAAGCAGAACCAGCCCCAACTAGATCATCCCAGCCAAAACTTTGTCTAGTTGGGTCTTAAAACCTCCAAGGATGGAGATTCCACCACTTCTCTGGGTGACCTGTTCCAGTGTTTTACTACCCTCCTAGTGAGAAATTTTTTCTCCTCCTCATGAGAATTTTTTTCCTAATATCTAACTTAAAATTCCCTTGCTGAACCTTGAGACAGTTGCTCCTTGTTCTGTCATCTGCCACCACTGAGAACAGCCTAACTCCATCCTTTTTCGAACCCCACTTCAGGTAGTTGAAGGATACTATTAAATCCCATCGATCTCCTCTTCTCTAGACTAGATTAGCCCAGTTTGCTCAGCCTCCACTCATAAATCATGTCCCCCAGCCCCCGCACCATTTTTGTTGCCCTCTGTTGGACTCTCTCCAATTTCTCCACATCCTTCCTGTAGTGGAGGGCCCCAAACTGAACACAATACTCCAGTTGTGGCCTTACCAGTGCTGAATGGAGGGGAATAATCACTTCTCTTGACCTGCTGGCAACACACGTACCAATGTAGTCCAGTATGCTGTTAGCCTTCTTGGCAACATGGGCACACTGTTGGCTCATATTCAACTTATTGTCCACTGCAACCCACAGGTCCTTTTCTGCAGAGCTGCTGCCCACCCAGTCAGACCCCAGCCTGTACTGGTACATGGGATTGTTTCATCCTAAGTGCAAGAATTTGCCCTTGTCCTTCTTGAACCTCATGAGATTTCTTTTGACCCAACCCTCCAATTTGTCTAGGTCACTCTGAATCCTAGCTCTACCCTCCAGCATATCTACTACTCCCCGCCAGCTTGGTGTCATCTGCAAACTTGCTGAAGGTGCACTCTATACCAACTTTCAAGTCACTGATGAAGACACTGAACAAAACCAGACCCAGGACCAACCCAGGGGCACTCCACTTGATACTGGATGCCAACTACACATTGAGCCATAGATTACTACTCTCTGAGCCTGATGCTCCAGCCAGTTTTCTATCAACCTTACAAGTCCATTCATCCAGCCCATACTTCCTTAACTTGCCTGTGAGTATGTTGTGGGAAACCATTTTAGCAAGGCTTTTTATACAAAAGTATAGCACATCTGTTGGTCTCCCTGCATCCACACAGCCAGTCACCTCATTATAGAAGGCAATCAGGTTGTCAGGCATGACTTGCCCTTGGTGAATCCATGTTGACTGTTCCTAACCACTTTCTCCTCCAAGTGCTTAGAAATGGATTCCTTGAGGATCTGCTCCATGATTTTTCCAGGGACTGAAGTGAGGCTGACTGGTCTGCAGTTTGAGGCCTCCACCTCAAATACTTTTTCAGGGGCTCATGTAAGGCGGAATACAATCATACTTAGATACCTAAGTCCACTTACTGTCTAATAGGTGGAACAGAATTAGCACTGAAGCATCCAATCAAAAGTCATGTTTCAGAGTCAGTCTCTGGAATGAACATAAAGAAGAATGTAACCATATAGGATATATGGGAGGATATCTCCTCTGGGGTTGGATAATTTGCCATTATTCACCAGGAGACTGCCACTGGAAACAAAAATCCGTACAGTATGGCTTTATTTTAGA